AAGCACACACCAAATTTTAACCTCACCTCAAATTAAAACAAATATTAGAAATCAAAACAATTACAAAATAAAAACTTTACCCGTTGGAACAATTTATGCAATTAGGTATATCTCTAGATTAATTGTGATGATATGTTATTAAATGAAATATCATACTATAATCTCATAATACTGATAATGAATACACCAATGACTTTGTTATTAAAATTTCCCAGAAGTTACAAAACTTATTTTCCAGAATTATGAAAAAGTTGCAAGCACTAAAATTGGCTCTCAAGAAGTGGAATTTTGAAGTGTTTGATAATGTGGCTACCAAACTCAAGGCAGCCGAAGAGGAATTACATTCTATGGATCTGGTTGTTGAAGTTAGATCTTTACGCGAGTCTGAAGTTAGTAGAAAAAGGGAGATTCAAGGAGAGATAGGAAAAACTAAGGAAAATGAAAGAATGGTTATGGCTCCAAGAATCTAGATTGAACTAGGCTTTAAAAGGAGATAGAAATACCAAATATTTGTATATCATGGCTAGCTGCTAGCAAAAGAAAGAACAAAATTTTGCTTGATTCCATTACTATGAATGGAATGACTTATGATGATCCTATGGAGATAAAGCAGGTAGTGTTTAACCATTTTAAGAGCTTGTTCACAAAACACTAGAAGGATAGACCTAAGCTTTCTGGATCATTTAAGTCCATTGGCCCAAATCATGCTACTGACCTATTGGAAAACGAATTCTCAAAAGCAGAAATTTGTGCTGTTGTTAAGGAGTGTGATGGCAATAAAGATTTTGGGCCAGATGGTTTTAATCTAACCTATTTTCATAAGGGTTGGAAATTTATGAAATTTGAAATCATTAATTTTTATGAAGTTTCATGGGAATGGTAAATTGGTGAGTGGATTAAATTGCTCCTCTGTGGCATTGATTCCTAAGGAGGATAATCCATCTAATATTCTAACTTGTTTATATTTCGTTTCTTATATTAACGGTGTAATATTAGATTCATACAAAAAGACAAATAGGCTTGAGCACAAATGTTTGAATGCTTTGGTTTATGTAAAGTATAGCACTAAACTAAGAGAGAGGAGTATCAAAAGAAGACAAAAGATTAATCCAATACTAATTGATTAAATTGATTTGGATGATGAATGGATTACTGAAAAAGAAGATCTCGTCCTTCTCTTGATGCTTGTTGGCTTGATGGTAAAGAGTTGTTCGATGTAGATGCAATTAAGATTGTGCCTGTCACCTATGAAGCATGGGTACTCCGAAAATGTTGTCGTACTCGTACCAGCAGAAGAATTTTGTGCAATAATAGCTTAATCATAATTCATGACTAGCCTTGTATATATATATACTAAATTTGAGAGATTACAAATTAGAAAGGTAGAATAAAGAAAAATAGCTTAATATCTCCTAATACATGATTTACGGGATCCTAACTTATTTACTTATTCCAACACTCCCCCTCAAGTTGGTTCAAAAATTTTCACTAAACCAAGCTTGACAATGGAAGATAATAACAAGGTTGATCTAACAGATTTGATGAACATATCAGCTAGTTGCCCAAATGAAGAGACAAATAATAGACTTACCATCCACTGCCCTGTTTTCTGTTATAAAGGATTATTTTCATGAATTGATTTATAATGTGGCATTGCATTGTTTTAAGAAAGAAAACGAGGAATGTTTGACAAATGGCATGAATGTGCATTCACCTTATAACTTTGTTAAGATTCATATATTGTGTTATTATCTTTACTGGGTTTTGGCTCACCCTATATGGAAAACAGCATTTAGGTGTTGATGATATGCCTCCACCAAGAACGTAGGTTGGGAGGACTTGGAGCCAAGGGCTTCATTTTGTTTATTTGTTGTAATTAATTTTGTATAAGCTTTGGGCTATACTTGTATTGAGTTAAACTCATTTTGTTGTACCCAAGCATCGACTTGGAAAGATGTATCCATTAGGGTATATAACTAATTGGTTCTACTTCTACTTTAAATCATGTATCCATGTAATATGCTATAAATTCAGGATCTAGCATTTATGAATGTATATGCCATATGTCATTTTTTGTATGATCAAAGTTATGAAAGGAATAGAAGATGTGATGTTGTTGATCATTTGTAAGTAATGTTATGAGATGGGTTATTGTTATTTATTTCGGGGTGTTACAGTAGTTTACAACCGAATTAATTTATATTTTTCGGAAGTTAATTTCCAAACTCATAAAACATTTTTGGCACTGGTTAGCCGAATGAGAATCACCAACAAGGAAAAAAAAAAAAATCAACTTTTGCACAAAAAACTCACTTTTTCATGATTTGTATTGATTGTAACTAGGCATATTTTTATTTGAATATGAACTTCCATTTTTTTGCAAACCTTCCATCACAAAAATCAAGAATGATGGTGGATTCTAATGGAAAATGGTAAACAATGGAGTATGAACTTACACAAACCTAGGAAGTAAACAATGTAACAATATCAGAGTATTTTATGGCAAGCAATAGAGGGCAATAGAGTGTAGCAATGGAGTATAACAATGGAGGAAGTGATAAACAATGGGGGAACAATATAGGCTTTAGTTTTTTGTTTTTTCATAAGATGTGCACTGAGAATTATCGTTTTCTAAAGATATGTACAAAGAAAACTTGGTTTTGATATTTAGTATATATTGATGTCCATTATGGTCATTTTGCTTTATAGTAAAATTGTCATAAAATTTTCTTTCATTAAATATGTACATAGAGACTAAAGGGTGTGTAGAAATAGAATTTTCCATATTCATGTCTTTGTAATATTTTTTCACTTGCCATTGTTGTTGATATTTTAAAAACTCACCACTGATTTATTGTTTATTTCCTCACAGGTAATGTAATTAAGTGTTGCTATTAGCACTCCAATTAATACTTTAGACCCTCATTTTCTTTAGACCTTCAACTGCAAAATTCAAAACTCTAAAAATTACTAAGAACCCTCCAAATAATTCCAAAAGTATCATTCTAAAAACATGATACCCACATTTGAATGGCCTCTCCCTAAACCCTAAAATCCTCTTACTTTGCTCTTTAATTTTCCTGTAAGGAGAGAGGGAGACGAGGATGGTTCCCCTATTTCTCCATCACCCTCTTGTCTTCTCTCCCTCTCTTTGATCCTCCTTTAGATCTGGTCCTTAACCTAGATCTGATGTTTGCCTCATAAGTTCGGCCATTCTCACCTTACCTTCTCCACTCTCGAGCCCAAAACTTTAAGATTTAGTTTCAAATCTTCTCATAATCCGAAGGCCGATACTAGATAACGCGTTTGTTTCACGCTAGATAACCATTTCAACCTCAATGTTCTATCTTGACTAGCGGAGGAGGATTTTTCGATTTCAAGTTGATGGTTGCAAAGCAATGGAGTTTTTGATGAGTTCGGTGGCGACTTGGATCTGGGTTTTTTTTTTTTTTTTTTTTTTTTTTTTTTTTTTTTTAATTGTTTTTGATGAGTTCGGTGGCGACTTGGATCTGGGTTTTTTTTTTTTTTTTCTTTTTTCTTTTTGTTTTCTTAATTTTTACTTTGTTGATGTAATAATCCTTTCTGTGTAGAAGTTTGTTTCCTTTCGTGGGGGGCTTTTTCTTCTCCTCTCTGGAGGCTTGGATCCTTTATTCTATGGAAATTATTTATCTCTTTTTGAGATCTTGTGATACTGTTGTACCAGATCGATTCGATCTTTTATCAATTTTGCAATGAAGATTTTATTCTCGATCTAAAAAAAAAAAATCACACCCACCAAAATGCGTACTTTTTAAAAACCTTTCATCTTTCAAAACCCTTAACTGTTGAACTTTCATTGTTGAACTCAACTGTTGACAGAGCTTTGTCATCAATCTTTGTTCGCCGTTGATTCTTCATCATCGATCTTTGTCATAAGGGATCTCTTACAGCTGACCTCTCTCCATCGTCGATCTCCCTCACAGGCAATCTTTCACTGTTGACCTCTCTCCCCCGTCAATCTCTTTGCTACCATGTTCGAACATGTTTTATAGCACAATTTGTACTTGTTTGGACATGTGTTGCCCAACATTATAAAAACGTAAAATCTTATGTCTATGAACAAGTTTGATCCATCAAAGTTTAACAAATAAAGATAAGTATGCATCAAATAGTTTGATTAACAAATAAAATTAAAGTTAATTGAATAACCAAAACAGAAGTATGCATTAAGATTATATCCAAAGTGCCATACATATGAATATTGGCCGGGTAGATTTTGTTGAATTAATGCCTTGTGTTGCCATTTTGGACATATCTTCGAAACTTCAGAATCCAAAAAAAATAAAACCATTTTTATAATTTTTTTTTTGTTTTTGAAAAAAAACTTATCATTTTAAGGTTAACCTCTTCCGACCTGCGAACATCATCCAAGTTGTGAACCTCCTTTGAACTTCTATTGTGATGCTCCATTTATCTTATGATATTTGGGTTGTCAAAAAAACTTTCACTTATCGCCATTATCAGAGAATTGTATGCTATTTAATAGTTGCCACTAGAAATTGTTGGAAGATTAGTCGTCAGAGGGTTTTGAGGGTTTTAAATTGTGTAAGTGGTGATAGAAGTAGGTGCTCAGATAAACTTTATGTTATGAATTAACGAGTTGAGTTTAATTGTGAAATAAAATATTTTAAAATAATTAATGTTCTTTTTAATAATTTTATTTGAAATTATTATTGTAATAAAAATAAATAATAAAAAAAGAGAAATTATATTTGTATACTACACAAACTGTCAGTATACATTGCAGATGTGTTTGGATATAAATTTCTGAATAAATATCAAATATTCAAATTTAAAATTATGAACAAAAATAAATTTATAAATTAATATTTAAATATTTGAATTTTATTCAAAAATTTATGTGCAAATAAAAAAAAAATAAAAAATAAAAAAAAAATCTGATTTGGGAGGAGGCATGAGATCCTCTGTTGACTAATTTGAGGATCTTTATCCATTTCAAGATCCTATCAAGATCCTATCCTGGTTTCTGTTGACTGGATCTTTATCCATTTCAAGATCCTATCCTGGTTTGAGAGGCATGAGATCCTCTGTTGACTAATTTGAGGATCTTTATTCATTTCAGGATCCTATCCTGGTTTGAGAGTCATACCCTCGTCTCTCTCCATTCATTTCAAATTTCAACCATGTTCCCCTGATTTTTCTCTCTTCTCCCTCCATCCTTCGTGGGAAGGAACCTCTGACATTCTCTCTCTCTCTCTTCATTTCTAATGTAATCTCTCTCTCCTGGTTGTTGCTGGACCATTGAGATTTTTGCCAGAGTTCTCGATCGAGCTGTCATCTGCGTTCTTCTTTCCATCGTCACGCCATCATATCGATTATATACACACATCATATTCATATATACACATGTACATTCAATTTCCTTGTTTGATCCAATCATTCAACTACGATCCTGTAAATTTCACGGTTTTGATTCACATTTCGTCATGTGGATTGTCGAATTTGAATTCTTAGCAATTAATTTGTTTGACGCAATTTGATTTGAGAAATCAGAGTCGAGAGAGAATGGAGATAGCTGTTCAGTTGACACGGGTAATCTCCCGGCAATTCTCGACAGGTTCGGTGAGGATGAGCGGGAGATTCAGCTTCAAGCGGCAGAATTCTCTCGATCCAAGGCGCAACAACCGGCGATTTAGCTTCGGACGCCAGTCCTCGCTTGATCCGATTTGTCGTAGTGCCGCTCAAGATGAGCTCTCTGTGCCTGAAAACCTCGACTCTACGATGCAGTTATTGTTCATGGCCTGTAGAGGTGACGTGAAGGGAGTCCAGGATTTGCTGGACGATGGCATTGATGTAAATAGCATTGACTTGGATGGGAGGACTGCTTTGCACATTGCCGCCTGCGAAGGCCACCTCGAGGTTGTGAAGCTCTTGGTCAATCGGAGGGTCAATATTAATGCTCGTGATCGCTGGGGCAGTACGGTGGGTATTTCTCATTCTTCTTTGTTGAGTCATGCATTACTAATTTGCTATGTTCCTAGTTTGTTATCACCAATCGTTCAATGTGGTTGCTTCGACAAATTATTGCTGCACTAGTTACTCGGAAATTATGATGCTGTAGTTAGTTAATGCATTATTGATTCGATATCAATAAGCTCTTGCATTCATATGTATTGTTTTTATTTCTTATCAAATATGGAATTTTATATTTATGGTTGTAGACTATTGTGGCCTCAGTTATAGAAGCAGAAATGTGCCCTGGTCTGGTCCGGTTTAGTGCCAATCCAAAACCAATAGTAGTGAGTCTATAATAGTACTAATTTAGTTATAGAAGAATAGCTAAGCCAGCCTTGTGTCACATTTAAGTGAGGTTGGCTACATAATCCTTCTTTACCATTCCTCTCATTTAAGGGCTATATGTTTAGTTAAACTAAATTAAGTTCATATTCTTTTTTAGTACCATATTGCATGTTGTTGAAATACAAATTTTCACATTTATTTTGTATTAAAGGGTCAAGTTCATTAAGTTTGATATGATCCTAAAATGGTTCAAAGCCACTAAAAAATAATTTATCAGTGACCAAGTTGGTTTTGATAACCTTTGTTGCCTTGAATAGTTGTTAGACATCCTTTCTTCAATATACACTATACTTTTAATTTTAACCTTTTAAGTTGGAGTAATATTTACCATGTCAAATTTGTGTGATGTAATAAATTATCCAAGACTCCTAGTGATGGGAAACTGGGAATGAGATAATATTCAATGTGTTTGGTATGAGTTTTTTGGATTAAGTTTTTTGAAAATTGAGTTTATTAGTTTTCGTGTTTTTTTGTTTTTAGTGAATATTTTTAAATTTTTAAAATTTTAAACATTTTTTTTACTTTTTTAGATGCACCTTACTTAGATGTATTTAAAAAGTAAAAAATTTGTGAAAAAATATTTTAAAAAATTAATAAATACATAAAAATACAAAAAATGTACTGAATTCTCATTTTTTTTTTTTGTATTTTTGTATTTTTGGTATTTAGTAAGTTTTTAAAAGGTTTTTTCATAAATTTTTTACTTTTTAGGTATATTTATGTTAGGTATATCTAAAAAGTAAAAAAAAAAATTTGCTTAAAATATTAAAAAAATTCAGTGAAAACAAAAAAACATGCAAAACAAGAAAGTAAAATTTTCTAAAAAGTGTTTTTGAAAAAGTGCAACCAAGCAAAGTGAATCGTTTTTATACCAATGTCAGCTTTCTACCTTGTTATGATTCAGTGTCTGTTACAAATTAATGGACCATTACATCGTATGGGAGTTCCAAAGTTGTATCTGTCTTTTCTTCCCATGTTGTGTTCTGCCAAATATTGCTTTTTTACAAGGAGTTTCTTGTCATATGACAGGCGGCTGCTGATGCGAAATACTATGGAAATGTAGAAGTTTATAATACTTTGAAGGCCCATGGAACTAAAATTCCGGTACCCCAAATTAATTCCCTATTTTAAATTGAAAAGCTTTGACCTCTGTGAATTTAAATGCAATCATGTTTCACATATTCATAGAAATTTAGAAAGACACCAATGGCTGTTGCAAATCCTCGAGAAGTTCCTGAGTATGAACTCAATCCATTAGAGCTTCAAATTCGCAGAAGTGATGGTATCACAAAGGTATGTTCTTTATCTTCTTCAATATAAGTAGATTACTGCTATTTTATGTGTATGATCCAATGTCAAATCTTTACAATGCTTTTTTGGTAATCCTATTTCTACATCCCCTATCCAAGCTTTCTCATTTTGGGATGGACTCTTTTTTCCAATCGGCAATGCTCTTTCCTGAAAAAGCATATTGTTGAACTCAGTCCATTCTTGTTAAGTGTGCATTCTTGTTAATTTGACATCCAATTTGTTATGAGAAGCGCTACTGGTTTTCTTCTGCTATATAGATTTTTGTGCATCAAAAATTTTTTTTTTTCTTCAAATGATTTGAAACTGAGATTTTCTTTTTGTCATTTTATTATTTCTTACATTTTATTTTAAAAATTCTTAATTTGTGTACATTTTAAAGTTACTAATAGGTGTTATCTATCATAGTTATTGAATGATTTTGTTGTAACCTATACTGGAAGGGAACTTAGTGGCTCCTGTAGAAACAGGAAACAGCTTCTTCTTCTTCTTTTTCTTCTTCTTCTTCTTCTTCTTCTTCTTCTTCTTCTTCTTCTTCTCTCTCTCTCTCTCTCTCTCTCTCTCTCTCTCTCTCTCTCATTATTTTTATTATGAAGAAGAAACATCTTATTATATAACTAATTGACTTGAGTCTAGCAAGAACTATAGTACTCTTCTAATTTTAGACTAGTATTTCTCAAGGAGAACTTAGAATGGTTCCCATTATACCCCTTTTTGTGTCATTTCCATGAATTAGGGTGGAAATTTTGCTTGGATTCATTAACTTAGTAGTTTGGTGATGTGCAATTTGAGGTATTAATTCCTTCAAGTCAGTCCAAATTTATCTCCAACTGAGACGGCGTTATCAACCTGATGGGTGTATATTGGACCTTCCAAATAGACCCAAACTTCCTTATTAGCGAACAATGTCAACAGGCTATATACAAACTGGCCCACATTATTACCCCATTAATCCTGACTAACTACGACCATCCCACTCTGAAATAATTTTCCTTTTAACATATTTCAGTTTTTTTTTTAGGACCATAATGAAATAGTGCTACTGTTGATTATGAATTTTCTGCCAATTATTTGGATAGTACTTTTTCATGGCATAAAATGATCAAAGCCATGTTTCTTGCTTTGATGCAATATCCTGTTTAGTTTGCTTGTACATTCATTTATTTTTATTTTTAATCTTTTCTGTAATGCTGTTCATCTTGTGGCTAAAATATTCTTATGACTTCAGCTCTGCAATTGTTGTGTTTCTGTCAGAATGAGACTTTTATTTATTTTCAGTTCTCTGTGTGTGTGTGTGTTGATATTGCGATTTTTGACTGATCTGCTCTCAAATAGTCTCTTTAGTGATGATTTGGTAATAGATATTTTCCATATCTTTTGACAGGGGACATATCAAGTGGCTAAATGGAATGGCACAAAAGTTGCTGTAAAGATACTGGATAAGGACAGTCATTCAGACCCTGCAAGCATGTATGTACCCACAAATGCCTCTTTTCTCCACATTTCGTGTTAGTTTTTTTTTAAGTGTCTGTGTTTCTATGAATCATATCATTACATAATGGTGTTACGTAACGGTAATGGCTGCTTTTTAAAACCTTGGTAGAGGAGCGCTTGCTTGAAGAGTTGTGTCTGTTGCATCTAGCGCTTCTGTGACAAGAGAACAATAGGCAGACCCCTAAAAGTCACTAATTAGTGGGTGAGAGCGTACTTTGCAAAAATATCTTGAGAGTGGGAGCACTTCAAAGTGTGCATAAAAAGTTATATTTTATATTTTGCATGATCACATGTTGATGCAACCCAGAAAGCATGAAACTTCAAGTTTTTGATAAACTCTTAGAATTCCACATCGAGATAGCATTGGAAGCAATTTTTTTTGTTTTGTTTTTCCCGCTCTATATAACTCTCATTGATCATACCCTAGGAGGTTGCACCAATCTTGTCAATTGCGAAATAGCTGGCGGCACTAAAGTAGCCTTTACAAAGGGGTATGGCCGACCTATGCATTATTAAATGCTTGTAGCCAAGTCTTGACAGTATAAAGGTTGTTAAAGTTCCCGTTCAAATTCATTTCGCAGATTTGACTTCAGTAATTTGCGAGTTTGATGTGTTTGGCTTTCAATTCATGAATATGTAAATCAGAGCGCGCTACGGCACCCATCATAGACGAATTAGTTGACCTAGGGCGGACCTGTAATTATGTAAAATTTTCTATGGACTGAATCATTCTAAGGGTCTAGTCAGTGGAACCGGTGAATCACGCGAGCTGGATAAACCACATTTATTCAAGAACACCCTATAGATGTGATGTGGTATACTTGAACAAAATTATTTGCTAGAAGGAAGCCCACACTTTTATTTTGTTGTGGGTGAAATACACTTGTTAAAAACATTACTTTTCTTTTGCATAGAAAGCAAATGCACTCTTCTACCATGAGCAATCATCATTTGTTTAAAACATTTGTGAAAGGGAAGAAAAGTTTTGCAAACGAGAAAGCTTAACAGAAGGCACCATACTTTTTTTTTAAAACTTTGAACGAGAGAAGATTCACCCACATGAAAATTTTAACACAGCTTTGAGCAAAAAAGGTTCAGGCAAAATTTTCGTTTAGAAGAGACAAAAACAAGAGAGGGAGAGGGGGAGAGGAAGAGAGAAAATATAACTTGTAGATATTCTCTTTAGAACAGGTTCCTTGTTTCCCTCACTTCAAATACTCTCTCTGTATTTGTTTCTCAGAAAATTCTGTTCTTACATAAAATTCATCCAAAAAACTTGACAAGAATGATGTGGCAATCCCCATTATTGTAAATAAATTCATCTTTGATGGTGTTTTGTTTTGAAGAGAAAGGTCCACATTGAGCCACATCATTATGTATGAGTTTTTTGTTTGTATAGCATTCTCTTGTTTCTCTTTGCAGAATGCTCTCTTCTTTTTTTCTTTCTATATATATATATATATATATTTTGCCTCACTGTGATCTTTCTGTTCACTCCTTTACTGACTGATTTGTTGTCGTTGCTCTCTGTCTCTCCTTTTTTTTCTTCTCCCCGCCTAACTTTTTTTCCTCTCCCATTTACTAACTGCTCTCCTTTCTGCATCGCATCTGCTGCTTATATAGAGAGAGGAGGGGGTAGTTTTCCTTGCTACCCCTGTGGGTAGCAGGGAAGTTTGAGAAATAAAACTCCCACTTTATATAAGTGGGTAGCTTCTAGCAGTTAATTTTTTTTTGGGTGAGCCCACGTTAGTTAGTGAGAAATTTAGTCACAGATTCATTGTTGGTGTGTTTTAACAAAACAACCACTTGGTCTCCCATTATTTGGTTAGTTTTACAGCCATCTATACATGGACCCATGCACAGCATTTTTATTGGTATCAAGTTACATAAATATACTATTCATGTACACATGTATGGACCATGACCATCTAATCAATCCATAAATTTTGTGTTTATTTGTGATGTTTAAAATACATCAAATGCTACAGAAGTGGAGTCTGATTTTGTTCGCACTCTTAAAATGTGTAATCGAAACTCAAATTCTGATTGATTTAAAGCAATGGAATCCAAAAATTTAGGTGGGGTCAATACACTTTTTTATTTTTTATTTTTATAATTGTAGGGTCCACAATTTTAGACCAATCAGTTTCTATGTTAGTGGAAAATGAGTTTTTACCCATTATTGATTAATGGGATTTTTTTTATTGCCACAATTTTAATTGGGTGGCTATGGTCACTAGTAAATTACTTTTAGGACCATATTAATGGCCTTGTAGGATCCTTCCTAGGGTCATATTACATTTGATGAACTTGACCTTTTAATTTTAAATGAACATGAAAATTTGCCTTTCAACGTGATGTGTCATTTTTGTTTGATGAGTGATAAGAAAAATTTCTGGATGAAGTATGGGCTGTTTTGAAGTCTAATATTTAGGAAAGTACATATTTTTCTTCTTTAAGCAATTGCATTTATGCTGTGTTTGGTTGAGGGATTTGGAGAGGGATTTGGAAAGGGAAATGGAAAATGTAGGTGAAATGTGAATAAAACATGCCTATATTTCACCTAATTTTCACACACTTTTTCCCTTTCCCTTTCTAAATCCCTCCTCAAATCCCCCAACCAAACACAGTATTAATGTTTATGGTAGTCTTGTTGTTTTAAGTTGCTCTCTATTCCTTGATAGTTTTATCTTATATTTTGTTTTGGGTAATGGCTTGATCCTTACTGCTTAGTTTATGAAGTTCATCTAATTGCACGCCTCAAACATTGCATCTTATACTTTTCTATGCAGAAATGCTTTCAAACATGAGTTAACTTTGTTAGAGAAGGTCCGGCATCCTAATGTGGTTCAGTTTGTTGGAGCTGTCACCCAGAATTTACCAATGATGATTGTTTCAGAGTATCATTCAAAAGTAAGCATCTTTGTGTGTGTCCTGTGTCTAGAAGTTTAAATGCAAGTTTGGTAACCATAATGCTACTGTGGGTTTGTTTTGATCTGGGCGTTGCTATAGTAGGAGTGCATTGGCTGTATTGATTTTGTATATGCCTTGTACTGCAGGTTTAACATTGCTCTTCTGAATGGTGATTTTTCAGGGTGACTTGGGGAACTATCTTCAAAAGAAAGGGCGTCTATCCCCATCTAGAGCTCTAAAATTTGCTCTAGACATTGCGAGGCATGTGCATTTTTTCTTAAAGAAATTTATTGAAATTTCCTTGAATATTATCATTTGAATCAATGTTTTCCTCCCATTTCTACTTTATTATCAATATTTCTTCTTATTGTTTTCTCGTTTCTTTCTTGTAAATGTGCACGTATATGTCCTTTTGTTCCATTTCAGTTTGCCTGTACATATCAAACTACTTGAAATGCTTGTTCCATCTAAACTTTTTTTTTTAATAATTTCCATGAGTCTCCATCTTGTTTATGTTGACGTCGTTGCTTGATTTCTTGTAAACAGGGGCATGAATTATCTTCATGAATGTAAACCGGACCCAATTTTCCACTGCGATTTAAAGCCCAAGTAAGGCAACTACATGCAAGACTTGATTCTAATCTGTATATTTGTGAATTCAAGTTTGTTTCCAATCATCAGATCGATCTGCTGTTTTTAATATTTGAAATTTTGGTAAGGTGCCAGAAATATTTTGCTGGACTCTGGAGGTCTGTTGAAGGTATCTGGATTTGGTTTGATAAGCTTGTCTAAAGTGTCACCTGGTAGGGCAAAACTGTTGCAGCCTGATGCTCAAATTGATTGTTCAAGTAAGTTCCGGTGCACCCTATAAATTGCTTTAGGTGTTCCACAGACATCAGTAGATAGACTATATTTATTCAGACCAAATCTTGCCTTTTGGAATGTAATCGGAATGATGCATTGTATTCAGAACTGTTACCTTCAAGAAGTGCCCAATCCTGTGTGTGTGTGTGAAACTGACTGGTTATTGGCACTCCAGCAAATGATTTTATTGAGGTTGAGGCCTTGGTTGATCAAGCATTCACTAATGCTATTGTTAGTTTTGGGGCATTGAGTGCATGGGTGAAGGCACTTTTGACTGAATTTGGCGGTTATCAAACTGAGAGTAATTAAAACTTGTAAACTTGTGTCTTTTCTCTATTAAAAAATGTATATTTTTGGATTTGATAGATCTGATTGGTTGACTACCATTGTGAAGTTTACGAATTTTCATTTCATTGTAGTATGTCAAAGTAAGACAATATTTTAAGGAGTAAAAGTAAGTTTATATTTAAGGAGGTACATTAACACAAGAATTTTACCCCAAACAGTATATTAGGCAAAAGAAGCCTTGGTTTCCCATCACCGTGCACTTCTTAATAAGTGTTTATCCATATTGTTGTAGGTTTATATGTGGCACCCGAGGTTTATAAAAATGAAATATTTGACAGAAGTGTGGATGCATACTCTTTCGGTCTCATTCTTTATGAGGTATCTTTTATTTATTTGTTTTCCTTTCATTCATAATAGTTACCTAATTAGTACTTTTTTCCAGATGTTTGCTTCTTTGAATGTAATTTATCTTCCTGAAATGATGACTACTTTCCCCGTTTGTTTCATTACATGTACCATTTCTTTGGTGCTTTTCTTCTGCACTATCTAGTACTGCAACTATGTACATATCTAGTGCAATTTGGACAATTTGTGACAATTTTTATACATCATGCTAGCATCTATCAGGTATATTTGTCGACAACAAAATGTTTAACGATTGCATTTCTTTTCTGATTGTGTTTCAGATGGTGGAGGGAGTCCAACCATTCCACCCCAGGTCCCCAGAAGATGCTGCTAAATTGATGTGTTTGGAAGGAAAGAGACCAACATTCAAGACAAAATCTAAATACTATCCTCCAGATCTGAAAGAGTAAGCTGATTTCCTGGGCGAAGTTACCAAATTTGCAACATTTTCAAGCTATTCAATCTTCATAGCTTAATGCAGTGGTGCTAAGATATACAATTTTACAAGTTTGTTATGCTAGTTTGTAAAGAAATTGATTAACTCCATAGCAAGATGCCAAGATCCTTCCATGAAAGTGAAATTGTACCTGAAAGATTGCTCAATTGGAAGCAAGGTTCTGAAAAGCGGTTACGGTCGCCGTAACGGTGGCGGTGGCGCGGTTGCGGTTGCGGGGTGTAAAGGCCGTAGCGTAACGGTTGTGGTAACCAGAACCGTGAATTTTTTTATTTTTCGCACAATTTGAAAAAAACTTACCGATACGCACATTTTTTTTCCATGATCATATTTATTGGGTTTTAAAATAAATATTGATAAATTTTTATAAATTTTTAAGTTTGATCTAATATATTTCATATTTTTAAATCACTATAAACTGAGTTTTTTACATTTTATTTTAATAATTAATGACTTTATATTTTACAAAAAATAATCACTAATTATTATATATAAGATAAATAACGACAAAAGTAAGAAAATAAATAAAAGTCTAAATATATATATATATTAATCAAGCCAAATAGATAATGACCACACTTATTATTATTATTATTTTCAAACAATGTATAAATAGATACACACAAACAAAATGGTTGAGTGATAATAGCTGAATAGAATAGCATAGGTCTTACAACTTCAACAAATCAATAACATGTTCTTCATCTTCCCTATTCTCTCTTTCTATCTCTTGTTCCTCCGTCTTCCCTCTTCTCTCTCTATCTCTCTTCCCCCATTTTCAACTTTTTTTTTGTGTTTTTTTGAAAGAAGCAATTCGGAACCGTTACATAACGGTGCGTAATAGGCCGTTACGGCACCATTACGACCGCTATAGCAGCCGCTACGGCCGATACACCTGTGAATCTCAATCACACTGCAAAAGCAGCCGTAACGGTTGGCGGTAACTACCACAACCATTACATAACGGCGTTACGTAACGGTTGCGGCCGCTTTTTAAAACCTTGATTGGAAGTCATAATTATTGGATATTTATTTTAGAAGTCACTAAAAAGATTTATTAAAATTTGGGATTGCCTTTCTAAAAGAAAGGAATAAAAATTGGGGTCAAGGGGTTAGGGTGACCCCTCACATGAGCCTTTTCTTGATGTTTTTACTTTCCATATTAACATGTAAAAGTCAATGTTAAGTACTTGATTTACTTTTAATGCCATGTTTTTGTTTGTCTAGCATCTTCTGTTGAGATGTGGGTTCGTTATATTTTAAACAACTCCAACAACATATTAGGGAACCAGATGTCTTGGGTTTGACTCTCCCCAGGCTTATCTGGTCACCATGGTTAATAGGTGAGTGCATGCATCTGTAAAGATTAGCTGCTACAAGTCTAAACTTATAACCAAAAAAGGAATTAAGAGTGACTAGGTCCGTTGCATTTCTTTTTGCCACATGATCATCAATATATGGGATGATGATATTTGTTACGATCAATGTGGGCAAATCAGATTGGTGATTCTTTATAACACTGGGATGGCCTTTTGCATTGCCTTTCGTCGAAGGGTCTGTTTGATAACCATCATTCTCCCTTTATTGAATTTTTCCAAGTTCAACATAATCAAAAGGGAATTTGTACCAAGTCATAATTCAGTGTTTTGTTTCCCTTTTTTTCCCCTTATTTTGGTAAACTTGAATGGTGCCAAGTTGTAAATCAAATTGTTACTTTTCTTGAATTGTATATTCTTATTTGTCTTTTTCAGTCATGGTAATGGTTTGTTGTTTTGATGGCTTTATAGTCCTCTGAATTGAAATTACAAGGAAGTATCTCATGCTTTTCTTTTTACTTTCTTGCATGCATAGGGTGATTGAAGAATGTTGGGATCCAGAATCTGTTGTAAGACCAACTTTTTCTGAGATAATCGTAAGGTTAGACAGAATTTTTGCAAACTGCTCTAATCATGGATGGTGGAAAGACACTTTTAAGCTACCTTGGTATGTGCCTGTTCCGTCTTTTTCTGAGTATCTTATTTTTTATTCCCTATTTCATATATATATGGCTTTCTGAAGACATACAAAAGATATAACATTATCAGTGTAAAGATGGTTGACATTTTACACAAGGAGAAATTTCAAGGCTCTAGATCTATTTGTTGAACAAATTTTTTGTTACTGTTTTTTTTTTTTTGGGAAAACATTTTTTTTTTTTTTTTTTTTTTGGGTTATTTACTGAATTTCATATATGAACCAAACCAAGAAACAAACTACAACCTGGGCACCCAATTTTTTCTGTTGGTTTAGCCTTCTACTTTAGTTTTAAAAAATATTGGATGTTAAGCATGGTAAACTGCACCCAATTTAGTCCCCATTTGATCCTGGTCTATAGGAGGGGGTAAATTGGGTACTGACCTAACTTTTGGCATAGTTTGTACAAAGTAGCTTCCCTTAGGTCTAAACCTACAACCTCGAGGTTAATAGGCTGAGTTTTAACCACTCCCCAGTGACCCATGTGGAAGTTAAGAATGGTAATTTCAAAAAAAAAAAAAAAGAAAAAGCAAAAAAGAAAGGCAGTCGTTTATGCTGTAAGCAAGGAAGAGTGATGGCGAAAGGTGGTGTGGGCATTTGAATCTCCCAAGTCAGGGATTTATTAGAGATGCATAGTTTTTACAAAGTAGTGCGTTGTTTTAAGATGCATGAGATGGGTCAAGCGTGCATTCATACTTGATAAAAAGTATGGGTTTGTGTTATACATGCTATGTGCAAACACATGTTTGCACATCTGTGTAGTTGCTAATACATTTTCTTAGTTTGACTGAAAGATAATAAGGTTATGTTTGAATTTATGGATTTGAAATGAAAGGATTTGGACACTAATCAATGAAGGAAAATAGCTCGAATTAGATATGATAGTTTAAATATGGATTTCAAGATTGAATTTGAGGGCTTTATCATGACGGATTTAAAATAAGTCAATAATAATGTAAACGTACTAAGGATTATAATTGTACAAAGATCATAATAAAATACTTCACTTCTACTCTACTCTATCGTCCCCTTCAGTTTCTCAATCTATCTATAATAGCCAACTTTCCTATATTTTTATAAAGTTTGACATCAAATTGTTTTCATTTGAAATTAATATATCCAAATGGAAGCTAAAGATCTGAGAGAGCAATGTCAAACTGAAACAAAATCGTAGTATTATTAGGTTGAACCCAAAAAAAAAAAAAAAAATGTTTGAATCCTATATGAATTTCTTGGAAAGGAACTATGGGCTACAAAATATGCATTTTGTTGGCAATTCACTGGCCGCATTACTAAATATGCCAAAAAGAACTTTGTGCCAAGTCTAAGGGCCTTGACTTTGAGCCATATGGAAACCAGTTTTGATGATCGTTGGACTGTCATGCAGTAGCAATTTAAATGTGAGAGTGGAAAAAAGCAAACCAAAATTTGGAACAAGGGCTAGCCACCAGATTTGTGGGGAAGAACAATGAAGTAAAGCTTCGACCATGAATGTATGCTAGTCCTCGAAAACATGACTACTAATAGGCTGACTAAGAAGCACCGACACATGATACGACATTGAGATGCTGACATATAAATATTCAAAAATATAGGACACAATACTTGGGTGACCCGCGACATTGAGATGCTGACATATAAATATTCAAAAATATAGGACACAATACTTGGGTGACCCGTGGTGTTTTATATATTTATTTGTCATATATGAGGGTAAGCACTTAATATATGTCACGTATAATGCTATTTCATTCAAAGATAATAACATAATGCTATGTAACACTAATTTCTAAACTCTAAAGGAGGAGAATAGGTGTAACGCCTCTAATTTCATAAACCTGCTTAACTTGAGACAAAGCCATGTTCACTAACCATTCTCATTAATCAATTCGAATTAGACATGCTGAAGCTGATAATATTTCCTAAAATAAGTCAATATACAAAGATGAAATAAATCTCTCTCACTATATTTCATTTCAATTTATCATTGAGAATACAAAATGTGAATTACATGCATTGATACATTCATAACCCTTAAAGTGTGAATCTATAGCATGTAATGTATTAAATACAAAAGTGAACAATATCCAAATACATGCCCTAAAGGCTTACAAGTTTCATGCTCCAAAATCCTTCTTCACCTCGGTGGAGGCATGCTGTCAATACCTTAAAATAGTTTTCCACATAGGGATGAGCATATAGCCCAACAGAGATAATCTTAACAAAGTGCATGAGTTTTAACATTATTATGATCATGAGATGCAATGATGTGCCATGCTAAAAAATACAAGTTTTGTTTCCAAGAGATCATGCCATGCACTTTCAGAAATCATAAACGATTCAACAACTTTCATTTTATCAAAACATTGGGTAAATACAACATTGGAAATCCATAAGTACGTGTTTGCTAGTAGTCTCACAAAGCACTACCAATCAAATACCCCACTTTACCGGTTATTAATTGAAAGGAAATTGGAACCTACCCCCGGTTTTCCGGACTTTCATTGAGAACCTCAAGCCAACTTAATTCTCATAAGCATAACTACATCCCCCTAACTTGATTTACTAAGGTATTTACCCCATTTCTCAACATTTTCTAAAATTCCTCGATAATTCAACACAATGCATTTCTTAAAATGCAATAAGTAAAAACATTTATCAAAAAATTAAAAAAATGCAAGAAAGTAAAAACATGAAACATGGGATGTCAATGCTATGCATGCTTTTCCAAATGTTTCAATTTTCCTAATTCCCATACCAATTCTACAACAGGTCAATGCAATACTCCACCAATTGCCAAAACATTTGTCTCTTTCACAATATTCCAATAAGCCAATATTTAGAGCATAATTCACAATTCTCAACACTTTTCAAAATAAAATATGATTTCCAAGAACAACATTCTCAATACTTCTAAACATTCAATTTTTTTTCAAGAATTTTCATGAATTTCTCATACACAACCACATTCTCAATTTTCACATTTTCTAGGGTTTGAAAAATTTGGAGATTTCTTATTTAAAGTGTAAATTTCTCAAATTCATATGCCACGGATCAATCACAGGTAAAACAATTGAAACATTTTGTAGACATTTGAGAATATCCTCCAATTTATACATTAATAATAATATTAACAAAAACCTAATTTCTCAAACAATTCTAGCTATCAAAATATCACATAATCTTACTAAAATATATGTACTAAGTTAAGAAAATCCCTACCTCAAAGATTGAGAGGGAGAAGGAAGAAATCCGGAATTTTTGAGTTCGCCGGATCGACAATCGCTCCTGTGAAAATAATGCCCTCAACGTGCTCTTCACTTTGGTCCAAAAAACTAGGGCAATAGTTTGGGTTAGGTTTTAGAGAGAAGGGGGAGAAAATCTCAAAATTTTCCCCATTGCTGCACGTGCGGACACACCCTACCACATGTGCAAAGCTCCATCCTTAGAACCTCTCGCGGCCTGCACTAATCCGCACGTGTGGGCCTACCGGCTACATGTGCAGCAATGCCTGGTGTAGGAACAGCTTCGCCAAAGTGATTGTACGCTTCGCCGTTTCATCCTTACGCTTGAAACTCAAAAATCATGCTCGCCAAAATACTTAGAGATACAAGGTACGGTTCTAACCATGATCATTAAGATATTAAACAGTGCGCAAGGACTTCGAAAGTAAAATGGTAGGTCCGAAAACACTAGTTCAAGTCGGGTCTAAAACTCAAGACATCACAATAAGTATAAATTTACATTACTTTTATATTATTATTGAATTTCAAGTTATTTTATCCAAACTTGTATTGTATTTTATATATGCCCAAGTGATTTGCCTATGTTCTCCAAGTATCTAAAGCATGTCTAAATCTAGAAGATTTTAAAAAATAGTATGACATTTTGAGGTGTGTCTCTCAAGGGTTGAGAAGTGTTCCATGAGTGTTGTGTCGTGTTGGTATTCGACAGGACACACTATTTATTTAGAAGTGTTTGTGTTTCTTAGGAAGTTGATACTGTGCATATATTGAACCTCAAACCCACACTGAACCAAGTAGTGATCAATTGAAGATTCCTCTTGGTTTTTTTCCCCGCTAACCACTAATGTATTCTATTCACAGTTCTAAATAGAGAAAAATAATCAGCAGCAAGACTAGCCATTTTCATTCCTGCTAGAAACTTTGGCACACTTACAAAAGAAGAATTATTGCTTATGAGAAGAATTGTCTTACCTAGAATATGAACACCACTGCTGGTAGGTCTGTTAATAGGATAAATTCGATGATTTCAATGGTAACATACAAAAAAATTATAATATAAGCAGCAATTACTCAACATAACAACAAAAAAAGGGGTTCATTATTAATTTCAGTCATATTGACAGGGGAATGGAAAATGATTCGGGTGATGGTAACGCATGTCTAGGCGATAGTAAAGTGACTTGATCATTATTAATTTCAGTCATATTGACAAGAGAATCGAAAATAATTTGGGTGGATGGTAATGTAGGTCTAGGCGATAGTAAAATGACTTGATTTTAACTTGCCTGTTGTTTTAACCAGAAGCTTATATTTTGTCTCTTAACAATTAACAATTGATTGTTTTGCAGGATTTAAGAAGAGGCCTTCACTTAATATCGACTATGGGAGAAAAAAGATGGGGGAATTACTACACTGTATCTTTCAAAAATATTTTAAATCAATGACAAATTATAAATATTAATAATTAAA